GAATAAGCTATTCTCAGAATGTCAAAGTATACTAGTTAGTCTACAATGATTGGAAACTTCTCATATTGTCTATTAATAGTGGACCACCATAGTAAATGTATCTTCGTTAAGGGTTTCATCAGTATTCGTATGATGTTCTTTCGTTTTTTTTCTGGTAGCAGGTCTATCTTGATAGCATATAGTATGCATTATCTGCCATAAATCTGCCTTGTCTATATAATGTGTACAGTCGCTATCGTCTAGTGGTTAGGACGTCACGTTGTGGCCGTGACAACCCCAGTTCAAATCCGGGTAGTGACTGATAATTTCGAGGCTTTTCAGCGATCTACACGCAGCTTTGATATTACCCCGTATCTTCCATGATGAGCTCATGAAATCGGCTACGTCTTCGCCTATTGGCGCCAATGTCACCGAGCAAGGAACAAGCATCAACTGGATAGCATATAGTATGTATTATCTGCCATAAATCTGCCTTCTCTATATAATGTCCATAGTCGCTATCGTCTAATGGTTAGGACGTCACGTTGTGGCCGTGACAACCCCGGATCAAATCCGGGTAGTGACAATTACTGAACGACCATCGTTCCGTCAAGCTGGTAATCACCTGCTTTCGAACCCATGCGCAACTTCCAACACACATAACCTAGGATGTTCGAAACCATGCGAGAAGATCCGCCCACATTGCCAAATTACGAACCCATGTCATGCAGTGTCATGCATAGAGAAAAAATAAACATGAGGTTTGCGTTCTTACGAGGACCGCCACAACCACTCGGCCAAACATGAATGGAGATTAGAAGCATATGTTTTGTGCTATGCTAATCTCCTAGCTGTTTGCCCCCAGACTTTGCCCAATCAGCGGTAATGAGTTGCTTTCACTCAACAAAACACACAACCATATGTGGATAATCCTACTCTCTCTTTTTACGCAACTTCTTTAATATATTTTTTCTATTCTTCTTTTTTTGTCATCCACAATAGTCAGCAAAATGATCATCAACATCATCATCATCAACAATCTCGCTATCTAATAGGGAGACCATCCTTTGCCACCCTTTCCCTTCCCCTTGCTGCTTCCCTTCCCCTTAGAGCTACCGTACCACCCTCTATAGCTGCCGTAGTATCCTTTACCTGCCACACACACGAATGCACAATAATCTATCCTAACTGCTATCCGGCCTTTTACCCTTCCCCCAGCCTTTGCCGCCCTTAGCGTTATAGCCAGGCAGATTGGTGCGCTTCTGCAGAACCTTCAGTTGTCGACCTCGGAACATAGTGTCGTTGAGCAAAAGAGCATTTTGGACCTACAACACAAACGGTATAATTCTCTACATTAACGACGGCGTGATTTAATGTAACCAACCAATGAACTTATGAGAGGATGCAGTTCCACTTACCGCAGCCTCGTCACCAAATTCAATGTACGCGAAGCCCTTCGGGTGTCCACTGTACTTATCGACCATAATCGTTATCCTGAATGAAATAATCATCATTGCATTACACCGACATCGGACCACAACACTACCGTTGGATCGAGCCGCAGCTTTTGAAGTGTTCCTGCAGCTCCTCGGGCGCTGAGCCATAATCGACGTTTCCAACGTAAATCTAAGGAACATATCAAGTTCCTCCTCAACATGTGCCGCCGCCCTACTGATCGCCTATCCTGCTCCTGGCTCTGAGCCGCTTGCTGTTCCGGAGTCATCTCCACACTCTCGTGATCAGAGGCAGTAGCATCACCATTCCCTGTTGCACCTGACACCCATGCTGGGCCATTGGAACCCCAACACTTGTCTACCTTGCTCCGTCATTTGCCTCAATCGCTCAGCTTCATCCTCGAGCTCTTGGATCTTATGTTGCATTTCCATGATCTCGTCATCACCATCTACTCCCAAGTCTAGATCTTCATCAACATCGTGCTGCTCGTTCTCGCCCACTTCTTCCCCACCAACAGGATGAGGTGGACCATCAACGTCAATTTGGACAACATCAGCAGTTGCCTCCTTGGCGGCTCCGTCGAGAGCTCCACTTTCTACGTTTGTTGACATATTCAGGGATGATAACGGAAACCAGTGGTAAAGCTACAGACGATAAAACCATGAACCCTACCCACCAAACACAATGGTCAACCACAGGCTTACGACACTTCATGAGAGACACTAGATGGAGCCTCTGCTTCTGTTATCAATGGCAA